TGTGCTTAAGAATGTACACCATTGTTGTATTTCTGTGTGCACATCAAGCACTTCGGGTGAACAAGTTCTGAATAATAGATACCGGCACATGTAGTTTGAAAGATTGATGGATGTGTACTATAGAAGAACTTAGAGGGGGGAGAGAAAGAGAGAGAGAGAGAGAGAGAGAGAGAGAGAGAGAGGAGATAATATGGACAGAGATACCTACGAGGGGGGGCTGTCGGATAGAGAAAGAGACAGAAAGAAAAGAAGAAAGAAAGCAGTGGAGAAAGAGATACCAGTAGTGCAGTAGGCCTATAATCAAAGATAGTATAGCCTACATAGTGTCTTTGGTATAATTCCGTATGTCGTTGCTCGTGTGGTTATTTCCCTCTGGTCGTTGTAGGCGCCCGGCCACGGGGAAAGCTAGCAGATTGTACTGTTCCTCTGTAAATGGTGTAGTTCTCAACAATACAACCTACTACCTCATCCCGGGGCAGGCATGGGGGGCGAATCTTCTTTTTCATTTTCATAAAAAAGAAAAATGTGGGGGCCCAGGTCGTGCTGTCGGGGTCACGGCACACTTAAGGGACTCCTTCCCCAGGTACCACGTGACCCCGACGACGCCGGCCACTCTCTGATTCAGTACCAAACCGACTGATGGACATTAAGTAGTATGACCACCACCACCACCTCCTCCTCCTCCTCCAACACTTTCACCACCACCTTGCAGCTATGATTTTGTGTGCTGCTTTTTGAGTTCGTGTTATCGTAGTACATTCGTAGCGGCATAGTGAGATCATTAAAAACACATTGTTTGTTTGTTACAGATGGACATAAGTATGACCACTAACACCACAGCCATGCAGTTATGATTTTGCGGGCTGCTTTTTAAAAAGTTTTTGTTCCTGTATATACGTACGCATATTCTACTGGCGTTTGTGGTGTGGTGGTTAGGGGTTTCACAATCGCATGCAGACCCACCATTCAAATGATCAAAATTATGTTGATGGGAACGTAAAATATCTCCACTTAAAAACAAAAAGTTTGTAAGTTACCGAAGGATTGACACAAGAGCATGGGTGGTCACCGTCAGGCAGCTCTGATTTTGTTTCGCTGCTTTTGAGGGTTGTCACCGAGCCTCGTCTGATTTTACCCCACCCCTGGCTTAAGTATTATCATACCGCCATAGTCGACATGACAACGCCCCTCACGCTTCTGTGTAAATACTATTTGGGCGGGGAAAAGGACTGCATAATTACACCTCCCCCCCCCCCTTCCCCAAAGTTTACAAATGAAAAACAAAACACCTGAAACAGAGTAACGAAATAAATGACACAATGTAGGTACCGGGTATAGAGTCTAGGTTTTGTTTAATTAATAAGTGGAAGGGTTGGGAGTGGCCGCGAAAACGGAACTTTTATATGTTCATGCGTTGGGACAACACTTGGCATCTTGAAAAAGGGAACCCGGGAGAAAAAAAAAAGAGAAAGAAAAACTGTAACACTCCAATCAAAACAACAAACAAGCAAATGAACAGAACGTGAAACTGTTAAGAAAGGTCGAGATCTGCGACTGTACAACTCTCCCAACTTAAAACAACAAAAATAAGTAAATGAAGAGGACGTGAAACTCTGACCTGACCTTACCATCAATGATTTATTTATAGAGGCACCAGCGATCCATGTCCAGGTGCTGTTTCAGCCTCTTTATCCTGTCTGCGGATTAATAATCTTTTTTTTGCCAATTTATTGGCGTGAAACTCTTAGGCCTAAGAAAGGTCGAAATACTCCAACCAAAACAACGCTAAAAAAATAAGCGAATAAATAAAAGGTGAAACACTGTGTTTTGGCAAAGTATTGGCCGTGTGTCAGCGTAACGTGCGTTGTCATATATCGAAATGGTAAAATAGTTCACACATTTTGTTTGCTATTTGATACACGTCATGTATGCACCACTGTACGGGTGAAGAAAGTGATCTTACTTCTTTTCTTTCGCTGTATATTGTGTGGGTGGTTGGAGGGTGGGTGCTTGCTGCAAGTGGTAAATCCTCTTACTCCTTCACTTTCCCTCTGTCGTTCGTTTCTAACAGTAGGTTTGGACCTGCCTGTCCCAGCACTGAATGAACCGAGTCGCGTCGATATGGACTTCAGTTTTCCCTCTGACTGCTCTCAGTCTCAGACCCATCAAGCTGTCGGTAGTCCCCTTCGCGACGTCTTCGCTTTTCTTTTTCTTTGTTTTTTTCTTCCGAACTCGGCAAACCGTTACTCACTGATAGCACGAGACGTGACGAGTAGATTTCGCTACGTGGTCTGCTCTTCAACTCGTAAATGTGTCTGTCTTGTCGGTTGTTCTGTTACCCTCCTCT